CAAAAGAAAGGAATTCATTAAAGCAAAACTTCAATCTCGCAAAATCATGAAAAAATTTAACCCTAAAAACAATACATAATCCAGTAATTCTATTGCCCAGTGGAAGAGTGGTTGGGTGGGCATGGGTGGAACTCGACATGCAACTACCTCCTCGTGGGGAGTTTTGGGTAATTTAGGATATAAAACTCTTAAATTAGCTGAACGTTGCATATCCAAAGTTACGGTACTTTGATTTCTCAGAAACTTTGATTATGGATATTTTAAGAAAAATATGCCCCCTCGCGGCAGTACAATATATAATTTTAGAAGCCTGAAACTTACCCACATAATTACTACTATAAAAAGGCACCAGTCGCATACCCTGCTGATAATGATTTAAGAAATTTATATTTTCGATGCACCTTAATAGAGATATTACTTTTGTGTTATTGCACATCAAATGCTATCTTTTTAATGAAACTTAACATTTATAAGTTCAATATTATAGACTTACGTTGGTTTAAATAGTTCACAATCACCTACATACAACCACAAAATGTGAAACTTCCCTCTGATGGCTTGTAATCATTGTACATTACTGTCTCATTGTTGATCTAAGTTGTTGTGACTAGCGGACAAGCTTGTATTTTAGGCTAGTATTTTAGCGCATATTCGTATTTTGCCTGATTCGGTTACAAAATGAAAGAATTAGATGCGAAGCCAGTTTTGGTAACAAAAATTTAGTCGTAACTTTTGTCACTTACTCCCTTTGTTGCCTGTCTTAACGGAGAATAGGCATATAAGTCTTAGTCTCTTGTTTCTTTCTAAGTGGGTGGGAAACAGACAAACTGAATAAAAGTTCTGATGTTCCAGTTACTATATAAAATAGTATAGCGGATACAATATATTTCACTGGTATGGAAAGGAGTTACAAAGTAGGGGTGCTTGGTTAGACATGAAGATTTTACAATAAGAGATTGAAAGTATAAGGAACTGCTGAAAGAAACTCGCATGCTGCCAAAGGGAGCTCAATGTAGGGGGATCTGGGAGTATCCCCCCCCAGAAATTTAATATAATAATATAAGTTACAGTTGCTATATAAGTCAAATATGTAAAAGTGGGAGTACTACAGCTCCCCCCCCGTTTCCGACGCTTGTTTGTTTGTAATTACGCACAAAGCTACAAAATGGGCTATCTGTGCTCTGCCCACCGGTTCCGACGCCTCTGTCTTTTTAATTACTTAACACATTATCGAAATTTTTTGTATCTCCTCCGCCAAGAGATGCCGCTGTCAACCTGTGACTGACAGTTTCTTGATTCCAAAACTAAGAAAGCTATTAAATATGTTCTTGCCCACAAAATTAATTAAAAGGTTAACATCTTAATTAATTCCGGTAAGGATTGTGTTTTTTAAAATACTCGAATAGCCCATCACCAAACTTCTCGAAATTAAAAAGTTGTCAAGTTCCGAGCATTGGAGAATAAATACATAAGTTGAAGTCGAATATATCAAATGTAGGTACTTCCAGAATAAAAGAAATTATAAAACAATGGACAATTAGAGGAGTGATGCTGTCTGAGCACATTGGCGCTGCTCTTACACTTGAAATTGAAGCTGATTCCCTAAACTTCAAAGACTAAATATGTGTGTGTATATAGAGAATAAATTATTCAGTATACACCCAAAATTAAGTGCTTTTCATAACCAAAGTTGTCAGAGTGTTAGAGGATCTTTGTTTTTTATGATCCTCTATGTCCACTATTAGAGCTCTCAGACTGCCCAGCACATACTCTTTTACCCTCTCTCAGGAGTAAGCATAAGGCACCGTGAGATTACTCTGGCCCAAGAGCAAGTCAAAGCTTAAAATGGTGAAATATTTTTGTCATACTCCATGTTATTGTTAAGACCCACGAATATAGTATAAAAACACTTAATAAAATGCATTTTACAGTTTTATTGTGCGTTTAAAAGGTACACATTTTTAAAAGTCTTATTATTTACATAATATACAATGAAGATCGCTTTTCTTTAGTTATACATTTTGGTAGGACAGGAGTGGAAAGCATTATAAAGGTCAAA